AAATGAGTAGTTGGTGGGGTTGTGACAAGAATTGGCCTGGGCTTTGCCTTTTTCAATATTAGTCTCCAAAGAATCGAGAACTAATAGATTATATGGTATGCCCGGATTATATAAGTGTGGAACAGGAGTTTCATATTCTTTTAATCCTGACACAACTCTCGTTAATTCTTTTAGCTCACAACAACTACCCCTCTCTTTTTCATTTTAGTCTCGGCACACAAACCCTTTGTATCTAAGCTCACTCAGATATGGTTGTCCTCTTGGGTAGGTCTGTCGGTTTTGACATTCCATAGAGGTATTTTTGATAAGCACTCAGTCCCTCCTAAAAATTTAGAGTTATGCACATATGATCATAATGGATGATCAACAATATTATTTCATTAAAGCACAAAGATCAGATAAAAATTGACCAAGTAATTTGGCTTTAAGCACGATCAATAAAGAATAATGCGACAACAATTCGATTATTTGAAATGTATGAGAGAAATGAATGAAGATCTGTAAGAACAAGTTTACAGATTCTGATATTAAGAAAAAATGAATGAATGTGTATCAGTCAAAGAAAAACAATATCAGAAAACAAAATTGAATACAAACGAGTGTATTATCACCGAAAATGATTTTCGTATAAGAGACGTGATAATAACAGTTTGAAGAATAGCTGAAACAGGTATTGGAGTTATGTACGATGAGAATTTTCACAAGTAAAATCTCAAGAAATACCTGTTCAGAGAATGTACTCGTTTTCCCCAAAAAAAAATCATTTTCTAAAAACCAATTATTGAACTTTGTAGAGAAACTCCCCCTAGAAAGTAGATTAAAGTAATAAATCTTTTAAGCTCAAAAAATTTAAAATGAAAACATTTTAAGCACGGGTTCTAAACTGGGTGTTTAGAAACCACACTCGATAAAGCACGGGTTTTGAACTGAAGTGTTCAGAAGCCTTAATTGTTAAGCTCGGGTCCTAAACTGGATGTTTAGAAACCTTTATTTTGAAATAAACCACAACTCCCCCTGCATCGGTGTATCATTGGAATGATATTCTGATMAGCATAAACTTGACACACCTGCAAAACCAAATCAAGTAGATTTTGGTACCCAAACGAACTTGGGTCCTAATATGTTAATATTTGGTTGGGGTATGTTGTAACTTCCAAACCATTTATTTCTATAAGCTATTTTCTTTTCAGCACATTTAGATATGGAAGATAGCATAGAATGCATGAAATGGTATGGTCTAAAAGAAGTAAAAGACCGAAATACTTCATTTACTCTATTCGGAGAACAATAATTTTTACTATTTCTTTTTGAATTTATTTTTTTTATAATAAACATCCTCGGAAACAGGTTTTTGATTAAAACTATTTGAACAATCTGAAGGTAAATCATTTGTAATATCAAACTTATCAACCTCATCAGCTAGACAAACATCTGAATTTGAAAAATTCGAAAAATTTATTTCATCATTAAAAGCATTTATCTATTCCGAGTCATTAGTTTCACTTAAAGATTTATCGCACGAGAAATATTCAGACTCATCTTGTTCCGTTTTCTTAACAAAGTTTTCTAAAGATTCAATTTTATTTAAAAACTCTTGTTTTTGATTATGAAAGGAAAGTCTTTCTTCTTTTAAAGTATTTTCCAGCTGAGCCACTTTTTGTTC